GGGGCCCAGCATTCTCATAAAAAGGACTGGGCTTTGCTATCTCTTTTTTTAGTACAAATGGTTTGTTTATTTTAATTTAAATAACTTTTTTATTCATGAAGGCTGATTGATATGTTTCACTTATCTCTTGATATCTGTTTAAAGAGAAATTTGAACAAATCCACTAGTGCTTGTAAGGACAACATTGGAAGCATTAAGAACCTGTGCAATGGTCTAGAAAAACTCTGAATCCTTTATTTAATAATAGTAATGAATTATATATATGCTTTATAATCATGGATGCCAAAATTGCCATTTTGATGGGGTATAAAATCAAAGAGCACAGAATTCTTCAGGGAAGGGTTAAAGAAATGAAAATACCTTCAGAAGTGTATAAACCTGTTGTTGTTGTTAAGTACCATGGAGTTGGTTCCGACTCATAGCAACCCTGCACAGGGTTTCCGAGGCTGTAAATCTTTATGGGAGCAGAAAGCCTCATCTTTCTCCCACGGAGCAGCTGGTTGTTTCGAACTGCTGACCTTGAGGTTGGCAGCCCAATTCGTGTATAGACCTAGATGGAGGATATGTCAAGAGACAATAGTTTTACATGTTTATATTTTTGATTAATAAAAGCTTCTATGATTTTATAGCAATTATGTTTTACTTACCTTGAACTTGGAATTTAACTCTGGGGAAAATACATATGCATGATATCACATTATTATTTACTGTAGTAAAAATTAAAAACTACCCAAATGTTTTAAATTATGTTATAGTCACTCTCAGATACTATACAAACTTTTAAATTTATCATGATAAAATCTGTCTAACAATGTGGGAAAATGTTTCTGATGTAATGTTAAGTAAAAAGAAAAACAGACAAAAAGTTGTACGTAGATGGCTTGTGCCTATGTAAAAAATAGAGAAAGATAAGAAATAATGGAAGAAAATAGACACTATGATGAAAGTGGTTTTACTATACAGGTGATATTTTGCTGGTTTCCTTATCTTTTAGAAAATTTACATATATTTGTATTGATATAAAATTTATATTCTTTGCAGAATCAAGGGTAAAATGCTTATATAATTGAGCATGAATTTCTTACTTAGCTTTTAAAATGTCTTTTAAAATAGTGGCAGAAGAGAAATTTAGAACGTTATCTGAGCCTTGCCCAGTAAGCATGTTCATGCCTTTAAATTAAATGAAATACTTAATCTTATGTCTATTATCACTTATAAATGAAATCATGTTACAAACTGTACTCAATGTACTATATCAATGATTTTATTTAGGTCAATCATAATATTAAGTATTTGCTACTATACTGATTACATGAGGATCATTGTAGTAAAAAAACAATTTATAATGTGTGGTAGGTAGTGTTGGAGTAAATTAGAAGTATTTTAGCATCCTGTGCTCTTTTACCACCTAGAATGTTACTCATTGGAAGATGCTACTGCTAGTTACTATAAAATTTGATTTTTTCTAAATAACTATTCATGTGTTTGATAGTGATTTTCCTTTTATCCATTTCCAGATACTGTCCTTTTTCCTTACTGTTTTTTGTACGTTTTTATTGTGAACTGAGTGATAGGAGAACATCAGCTTTACAC